CTCTGGCTATTGCATTGTGGGTAAGTGACTTGACTATCCATACTGGTGTAGTGTGTGATCATTGTGATCAGTGTCCTCTTATTGGTGTACGTTACAAGTGTGGGTAAGTAATACAATATTGCATTGTGGGTAGGTGATCTGGCTATTGCATTGTGGGTAGGTGACTTGGCTATCCATACTGGTGTAGTGTGTGATCAAAGTCCTCTTATTAGTCCCCGTACAAATGAAGTTTGAAAACAGGGACTTATAATTCGGTCTCAGTCTGTCAAAACAGGTTTTGCACAAGTCAGTACTGAGCAATTTACCAGAATGGTCTTGTCTCAGTATTTTGTTCTGTATTAGTACCAATAAAGTTGGGTTTTCAAGGTTGTCATGAATTTTTAATATATTTTAATTTTGATTTTTTTATGCAATCAACATGCAAATATTTTCCATTTTTTCAAGCGGATGTTCTTTTAAAAATATTATTTGCCTTCATTTTGCCTGGTCTAATACTGTGGAATACTTTATTTTCACTCAGAATAAATTTTTGCAGAAGAAATGATTCAGTGAAAATAAAATCCATTTTAAAATAAATTTCATACAAAACACCGAAAAAGTCTATTCAGCGAAAATTATATCCCAGCTAAAATATTTTACAGTATTCTTTTTTTTCTTTTTACAGAAACTGTGATGATTTTGATTTATGTGAACAATGTGAACAATTAGAGAGAAGACTTGTACATGAAGAATCACATGTATTTTTAAAACTTGATCATGCAAATAAAAATGCTGGTAGATCTCGGACAGAAAATGGTTCCCTTGAACCAATGCCACTTTTGAGAGAAATTGTTTATAAATGGTAAACAACAAAACCACTTTAGAAGACATATTACTAAAGGATGATGAAACTGAACTGGGGGTTTAACATTTATTGAGTTTTATTATTATAATACACATTTTTGTAATTTACTGGTACTTATTTATTCATTTACCTGTAATATTAATTATTTTGTGAAGGCATGTTGTCTGTTCCCACTCCAGACACCAATAGAATATTTGCTGTTTTACACAACAAAGGGGCTCTAGTAGTTTTCATGCTACACTAAGTACAGGCCAAGATTTAAGCTAATCTCATATATTTGCATTTTGAACAGACCTAAATGCGTTCACACACAAGGGGAAACAGTTTCTAGCATGGACTAAAGAACGACTAAACTTGTTAAGAATATACAAAAATCTTCAGTCATTACAGTAGCTAGGTATTTTACCTCTTAGCCAGTGCTAAGGAGCTGAGCGTGAATGCTACTCATAAACACAAAGGAAAGTTTATTGGCTCAAAGTAGGATTTAGATCGTGTCATTATCCAAATTCCCCTTGGAAGAATTGTAAACACAAATGTTCATATGAACACTACTAATGAGGCAAATAGATCATATTGTGTTTGCAAAGACATAAAGATATGTTTCTAAGTATATGTTATTTTAGTGTAATTATAAAAGCAGAACTAGACAATCAGACTAAAAATTGTGAAAAATGGATAAAGATGATACAAACCAAATTGGTAAAACTAGAATTGAGATTTATTGATTGGAAAGGGTTATACCTTATTGAAAATTAACAGATATACTTGATGTGTTTCATAACTTTCATATTCCAGTTTGGAACAATTAGGAAATTGATATCACAATTATGATTTAAAGGGGAACCGCTCAATCCCATGGATTGCACCACATGCTCATTGGTAATTAACTCTGCCTCTGTCTAGTAAGTAAAAGAATGCTTATTATGCTCGCTTAATCAAACTGTGCAGGCATTTTGCATACATTAGCTGCCATTTTAAACTCATGATTTTTACATGTTGCGGCACGTTTCGACCGAAAACAACAACATTTACACATCAAAAGCCCAACCAGATGAGTGTAATCGCTATCGTACATATTCATGCCCCCATAGAAATGTATTTGAAATCACAGATTGATCTCTAAACATCGTAAATGGCACAATCCCCGGAGCTCTCGCCATGATGTGAGCGGCTTGGTTCAGATTAGCACACTAATTGCGGTGGCCATCTTTCCCTACTTATAGTATAGGTTCCCCTTTAAGTCTCCCAAGGAATGCATGCATCACTGGAGAGCTTTGTCAACCAACTTATGTTTATTCAGCCATTGTCTCATCGCTATACGTTGACAGATTCTAATCAGTGAGTATGTACTCTTTTGAAAATTCAACTCGTCATTTGGTTGTATATCCATTGCCATAGAGCTACTCTGATTGGACACATGTTTTACAGGTACACTGTAACCTCAATATAATGAACACCTTTATAATGAATTTCCTGATATAATGAACAGAGCAGGTCTCCCGCTCACAACAAACCCAATGTATTATGTGCTTCATTATAGTGAACATTTCACTATAACAAACTAATTGTATGTCCCCCAAAGAGTTTGTTATAACGAGGTTACAGTGTACTTTCAATCAAATCTATACCTTTTACTGACGTCAAATTCGCAACCTCTTTGGAGAATCAGTAACATGTTCCGAGCCGAGTAACTTTAGATGTAGTTTGCAATAGTTTATCATGGGGAATTCTAAATATTCATTTAAAATGTATTACACAAATATTAAAATGTACAATGATCAGTTTATTTCATTGTGATATTGATAACTTTCTGAATGCAGTGATTCACTTGTACTAAAAACTGCGCCCTCAATAGTTCAGTATTTGTGATCCATTCCTTTTTTGCAGCCATCACTAACTGTAATTCAATTTTTAGAATTGCACAAAACCTTCGGCAGCAGCCAGATTAAAGAGGAAATTCTCCATTGCTGGTGGCATCTGTCTTTCTTGAAGAGCTTCCAGTGTTATTTTAGGTGTACCGCCATCCTCACTGGGTGTTGCCAGGGTCTTCAGATTGTTGATTAAATCTTTTGTCTTTACTGCTATTTCCTAATTGTGATAAGACAAAAGTAAATTATTATTAATTCTGAATTAATAATGACTATTATGAGAAATATTAATTTCTAGAACAGCTTTATTGAGCAGACAGTTAACTTTATTTCACTTGATACATACTTAATAAAAATAAAAACGGAAATTAATAGTTATGAGAAAGAGAAAACGGGAAAATAGTTGCAACTAATTAGCAACTAATCGAGTTCAACAATTGTATAATAATTTTACATTAAATTACATTGATGACTGTTCTAAATGTACAGACTTTTTCCAGTTTTACTAATTTTCAAAATAAAGAAAATTATGGAAATAATATTCAAATATACAACACTAATGAAAACAGTTGATAGACTATAATTCAAACAGATTTTTTTAAAGTGTATCATGAGTGAAGAGTTTTTTATATGTTCTGGAACACTGTTCCAAACCACAGGGCCGACAAATTTAATAGATATTTGTTCTAATCTACATTTATCTTTTGACGGAAGGAGGATATTCTTTTTACCAAGTTCAAAAGCATCATCTAATGACAAAAAATATGATTTAAAATGTTAGGGGGGGGGGGGTCTGTCATGAAGAACGTCGTGAACAAACAATGCAACTTGTAACTTGAACTGATTATATATATCACTTATGAGTGCCAAAATAAACTGACCATGAAAACCAATAATTTTGTTTCAGTGGGAATTTATAGCAAATTTTCATTAACCGTTTATTTGGCACCACCTGTAAAGCAATGTTTTTATTAATATTACTGAACTTCTTAATGTGAAAAGTATCAATATTTTATTTTAAGTCTAGTTATACTGACTAAACATCAATTTCTTACGATCAATTGAGATACTGTAAAATACTTTATTTTAGCTGGAATTAATTTTCGCTGAGAAGACTTTTTGGGTGTTTTGTATGGAATTTATTTTCATTGATTTTTGACAAGTTTAACGTAAAATATGGGAAAACATATATATTCGCTGGATTTTATTTTTACTGAATCATTCCTACAGCGAAAATTCATTCCAAGTGAAAATAAAGTATTGTACAGTACAACTTTTGGCTAGAACGGAACCAATGTATTGAGTTGTCTGTAATTTATTAACCTTTGAGCACCAAAGTCAACTTTTGTCACCATTCACAAAATAGTTCTATATACCATATGTGCATATTTATTAGGTAATTTGCATATCATTAACCCTTTGAGCACCAAAGTCAACTTTTGTCACCATTCACAAAATAGTTCTATATACCATATGTGCATATTTATTAGGTAATTTGCATATCATTAACCATAAAAGCACCAAAGTCCAAAATAATTTATTGAAAAAATTTAAACTTTAAAATTTAGAATATGTCGCATCAAAATTGACAAAAATTTCAAATGGTAAAGACAATGACATTGGGGAAATTGGTCAGCGGTAAAAAAGATTCATCTCTCTTCAATGCATTTTTGTTTTCCCCCAGTTTTTGGTCTATCATCAGATAAGAGTGTAAAAAGTATTGCTACATGTACTCCTTCTTTGGGGAATACAGGTTCCAAGACCCTGAGGTTTCTATGCATACATGTACATCTTCACTATAGCAACACCATTTGTTTCACCCCTCAGTAAGAAAGTGTACAAAGATGCAGGAGTCATTTCTGAAAACAAAACTAGGCTTTCTTGACCAAATTTGTCTTCACTTTTTTCTTATATTCTGGTAATGAACCCTTGGAGCCAACAGACAAAAATTTAATCAATTTTCAGTTTTTACACAAAAAATTGGCTTTTTTGTTTCAATTTTCTGAAGGAAAGTGCAGACTATAAATAGGACTATTTTGTGAATTTGTGATGAAAAGAGGGACCTGTTGGTAAAAAAGGTTATTATGATACCAGAAAAAGCCTTAGGCTTGCGAGTGGAATTTTGGGGAAAACAAACTGGTTTTGAAATGGAAATACCAACAATTTAGACTGTAAACTTTCAACAACTTTTCATGAGGTCTAATTTAGAATCAAATTAATGGATTCCTAATTATTATGCAAATTATGTTTTGTAAGTTTCTGTTACATGCAGATACAGTAAATTGTATTTGTTGTGTTAAAGGCAGATGTGCTTACATAAAGACTGAGGTCGAAATAAGTCATATTTTAATGATCTTTGACACAAACAAGGTAATATAATGTTCAGTGAGTAAGAAGTTATACATCAACTCTTTGTCCAATATAAAAGCTGGTTACATATATGTATTTGTATGGATGATTTTAATTATTCACTGGGTTTTAATTTGACTAATTTCAGCGATAAGTAAATTGAACATGTAAAATAACAATAAAAATCATTTGTGAAACTGAAACGCAGTGAATATGCTCAAATCTTCAAAATAGTGAAATTAAATGTTAGTGAAAATAAATGGTTTTACAGTACCAAATTTCATTGTAACATGATGAGAATATCAATGCTTATAATTCACGCATGGAATTCAAAAATACAAAACTCACCTTAATTATTTGCTGATCACTCTTGTCCTCATCCTGGGCACTCTGTACCATTAGCTGTGCTATATCTTTATGAATCTTACCCATATTAAAGGATTCTACATTGCAGAACAAATGAAAGGTGAAATAAGACTACATGTACATACAACATACAACGGTTGAAATCCACTATTATATTAAATCAACATAAACGTGTAAAAATAGAATGGCCTGAATCTTTGTTAATGTTAAACTGAATGACGACTTTTTGATTTTTCTGTTTTAGAATAATATAAACATCAGTCTTCATATGCACTGCAATGTCAAGTGGTTGAGTATCCTTTTGAACCAGTGATGTAATGTAGTTAAGCACTCTGCTTATCTAAACGTCAATATACACAAAGCCTTGAATATCATATGTCATACCACAAATAGGGAAGAAATGTGTTAACTCCATATTGAATTTTGCAAAGGATTGTAGGATAGAAAATTGAACTGTAGAGGGCATTTGGGGGAGGGGGGGCTCCCATGCAATGTTAAAAATGTACCACTCATGTACTTGACTTCCTGTGTGTTTGTTATCTCTACTTTTAACGTACTAAAGTGACTTCCCATTCTAGTAGTCAACCAAGCAACATTTTGTCTTTGTATCTTTCATTATATCCCACAACATCAGACTGCCAAGAGATCAATTTCAAAACAAACACAACAGACCTTACTTTCTGAAGAAACTTATGAAAAAGAGCATGCACTCACCTTTTACATGTGTAGCCACAATAATTTCATTATGTGGTACATTAATGAAGATATCATACAAATCATTCCTTGTTTCCAGTGTAGAATCTAAACTACCAATGATATATGTATTTGTTGTTGATTTTACATCAGTCAATTCTTCCTCATCAAGGTGCACATATGGATAAAGAATATTCCAGTTTTGTCGGTGCCAAACTAATGTGGGTAGTGCTCTGGTATAACAAAAGGAGACATTATTTTCACACAGCAGGATAGCTTTTATAATATATTGACAGGTGAATATAGCACATGACAGGTGAATATAGCAAATGACATGTGAATATAGCACATGACAGGTGAATATAGCACATGACAGGTGAATATAGCACACGGCAGGTGAATATAGCACATGACAGGTGAATATAGCATATGACAGGTGAATATAGCAAATGACGTGTGAATATAACACATGGCAGGTGAATATAACACATGGCAGGTGAATATAGCACATGGCATGTGAATATAGCACATGACAGGTAAATATACCCCATGACAGGTGAATATAGCTCATGACAGGTGAATATAGCTCATGACAGGTGAATATAGCACATAACAGGTGAATATAGCACATGGCAGGTGAATATAGCACATGGCAGGTGAATATAGCACATGGCAGGTGAATATAGCACATGACATGTGAATATAGCACATGGCAGGTGAATATAGCACATGGCAGGTGAATATAGCACATGGCAGGTGAACAAATCACAGCATAGAAGAATAGCAAAATAAAACATTAATCACTTGTATTGAATCAATGTCATGATACTTAAGCTTCATTATTTATTCATAAATCACATATTAGGTTATTATTCGACATAGATCACATTATGACATGATTATAGAATATGGATTACATGATGTGAATAATGCACATGTGGGTATTGCATATAGATCATATGACAAGTGAATATTGTACATATATCACATGACTTGAATATTGCACATACATGTAGATCACATGACAGATGAATGATACAAATAAATAACATTACAGGTAAATATTGCATAACATACATTTTAGGTGAACAGTGCACATAGATTACATTTTATGTGAACAGTGCACATAGATCAAATGACACAGGTGAGCAGTGCACATAGATCACATGACACAGGTGAACAGTGCACATAGATCACATGACACAGGTGAACACTGCACATAGATCACATTACACTGGTCATATTACACATAGATCACATGACAGGTGAACAGTGCACATATATTACATGACAGGTGAACAGTGCACATAGATCCCATGACACAGGTGAACAGTGCACATAGATCACATTACACTGGTCATATTACACATAAATCACATGACACACGAGAACACTGCACATAAATCCTATGATAGGTGAATATTACACAGATCACATGACAGATGAACAGTGCACATAGATCACATGACATTGGTGAAAAATACACAGATCACAGTACATTGGTGAACACTGTACATATATCACATGACAGGTGAATATTGCACATAGATCAAATGACATTGGTGAATACACATAGATCACACAACACTGGTGAATATTACACAGATCATATGACACAGATGAGTATTGCACATAAATCACATGACACAGGTTAACACTGCACATATATCACATGACACAGGTAAACACTGCACATAGATCACATGGAACAGGTGAATATTGCACATAGGTCACATGACACAGGTGAACACTGCACATGGATCACATGGCACAGCGAGTATACCACAAGATTGAAAGCATGGACCAACTGACCCAAGATTCATTGGCACGATTTTCTTGCATGTGTATACAGTCAACTCTCATTTCTTTCCTGTTTATTATTTGGATGGTATATACAATATATTGAAAAGTGAATTCACCTGGTGAACTGTAGTAATTCTTCTAATTTGGAGTGATACACTGCAACCCTTTTTTTTAATATTAATGCTGTGTAAATTAAAATAGTTTCTACACCAAATACTCTGATTACATCTGTACAGAAAAACCATAAAAAATATTTTAATTATGTACAAAAGGAAAATTTCAAAGTGTCCCAGTAAAAGTTTTTTTGTTTTGTTTTTTATTTCAGCCTAATCGTATTTTCTGACCACATTACAATGTGTTCCATATACAAGATGATGTAGATGAATATTGCCACTAATTTTTTCATAGTAATAGGTAAAACCTATTCCCAAAACAACTTATCAAAAATCTACCAAAATCTATGTTGGGCAAAGTTGTTAAGTAAAATCATGTTATTAATTCTTAGTATTTGCTTCAAAGCCAAGGGTTCTTCCAGTCAGTGGTTATTTAATTGCTATTTAACTTCTCCACTAATGAATGGAGATACATGTGCTAATAATATCTGTCCAATCATTTGTGAGAAAGTGAACCTGTATGTTTTAATGCATACATTTCTAAATATATTACCATGTAGCCATGCAAAACAAATGTGTCAGCAATCTAGCTTTTACAAGTCATATTTGTGTGGTGTAGATTTTCTAGCTTTTGATTTTCACCGGATTTCACATCTAATGTTACTTAAGTCTGTACTCCATACTTTATGCTCAAAAATATTGCATAACAGTTTGTTTGGAATTTGTGTTTAAACTGCAGCTCTGGGTATATAAAATGATATGCAACTTGCACTCCACATTGAAGCACCTGCTTGGATTGCTTCACAAAATCAATATTTTCAACAATCCTTATGTAATTTTTACATAATTTTTCTCTTGTATGCAACCACAAATCCAATTTCGACATTAGTTTAAATGAAGATTTGGGCAAGCAAAACAAGACTTCAAAATGACAGTCAATCATAAGATTATTCAAACCAATTCGTTAATCAAAAGTGCTATACTAGTATATGTACAACATGTCCTTTCAAAGCAGACAATGCAGAAAGTAAGATGTTTGAATTACGGTTAGCGCCCATGCCCAGGCAAGCGCCCACCCCCCACTTTTGCGCAATTTTTATATTCGGGGTCACATTCGACAAAGCGCCCACCCCTGCAAAATGCAACTAATTTAAAACTTGGTCTTGCGTAATGAATCTTGGTAATCGTTTTTATATGACACAGCGTGGATATCGACCGCTGTGAATATGTTGTGAATACGTAGACTCTGTGTAAACTACGCTTCAACAATGACCTGTAAATACAAGTAAAATGCGGTAAATATTTCATGCCATATACAGTTTACCTTTCAAAAATGGCTAGTTACCATTTTTTTTTTTTAAAAACCATGTCATTTATTCGCTGAAATCAATTCCAACAGATGGTACTTTGACATCAATAATTCATTCTGCATTGCGTAACCGGAAAGTCTTCGGGAATTTCCGAAGAATTGCGTCGGAACAACACAGCATTCTGATTGGTTAATAATAAACTTGACCCATTAGGTCAAAGGACGCTGCTGCAGGTCAAATCTGCAAATGTATCATGGCGGGAAGTGATTTTCATCGAGAGTTTGTGTACGATCCAATACATTCGTTAGTGGAAATAATGATGAGAATTTTGACTTCGACTGTGTTCCAACAGACTCTAATATTTTTAATTTCGTAAATTCTGGTGGTACGTAATTAATATTGTAATAAAATGTGCATATTTTTTGTTATCATTTCTGTTTCTTCATTGTAAAAATCAATGACAACGCAACTAATTATGTAATTTGATTTACCCTCAAAGATGTAATTATCCCCCTCAATCTGTCACATGATGAATCAAAATTTTCATTTGCAATTTTTTTCGACAGGGGTGCTCGGATAAGCACCCACCCCTAAAAAATCATGATTTTCTGAGTTGAGGCCCCTGGGCGCTAACGCGGTCGAGTACGGTATAACCTCCAATAGTATTTGCATTCGTAATAAATGATGTACTGATGCAATCGCAAGGACTGCTTAACCATGATTAGACTATGTGTATAGGGAAATGCATACATGTGCTACACGTAATGTTCACAACTATTGTTGAAAATACCATTTATATTTAAAGAATAAATCTATGATTATGAAAAATATATGACTAAGTTTGTTTTCAGACCTTTTATTGATGAAGCAATGTATGATTTTCTGGCATCGTGGTCTTCAACTGCAAATGTGCCATTGTCTACACAGGTGCAGGAACCTTTGGTCAGAACAGATAGATAACCTTGCAGCATTGTAGCAGGATTCCCTGTTTCTAAAAATAGTTTACTCAATATTTGGCACAAAGTCTTGTATTTTTCAGGGTTGTAGTCTTTTGAAAGCAGTACAAGAGAGAAATATTTTACCTGAAACAGAAATTTAAGTACTGTATACTGTAAAATACTTTATTTGAGCTTGAATTAATTTTTGCTGAAAAGACTTTTTGGATGTTTTGTATGAAATTTATTTTCACTGAGTTTTGGCGAGTTGAATGTAAAATACAGGAAAAATGTATCATTCCTTCAGCAAAAATAGCAAAAATTAATTCCAAACGAAAATAAAGTTTTTTACAGTATTATACTGTAGATTATAAACATTAAATGAGGTCCATTATAAAGAAATCAAAACCTACCGGGGGGGGGGGGGGGTATTAGCATATGGGTTTATTACCTCAAGCTCATAGATGGATTGATAGATCTAGATATTATATCATACAAAGATTTGACTTGTAACTTGAGTGAATGGCTGCTAATTTGAGGGAATTTTTATAAAGTCTTGTTTGGCTAAACTATTAAATTATCATGCCATTACAAAAGTAAGATTGTCAAACAACCCTTGACTACCATGTGGCAACATTGGTTGGGTGCTCTCTGGAATTGTTAATTAGTAAATATTATAATTGAGAAAAATTAAATGACAAACATTTTCCGTATATATGTTCTTTAGTTAGTTTTACTAATTTATCTTAAGATTTGTTGTTTTTGTGTGTAATACTCATGGTGTCACAGGCTATATTATCAACACGCCTATGGTTAATGGATAATACTAGCCCATGACGTCACTTGTATCAACCAGCTTTACTAGCAAGTGACATAATATTAATTATAATATAATATAATATTATAATATAATACCGGTACAATTTATTTGTGACAAAGCCAATAATATTGTCCTACCCTAGATAGCACAGGTATGTCTTCAACTTCTGTTGTATAAATATAATACCACTGTCGTCCATGTTGACCAAATACTAGCTGGATAACTTCATTACTGTCTCGTTTTAAACAACACTTCTTCATTAAAAGATCTCTCTTTTCACCAGATATTGATGGGTACGACCATGTCCACAAGACATCAGAATTTGTATCTTTTTCTAAAATGAAATAAAAAGATAAACAGCCATTGTCGATAACATATCACTTTATAATTGATAGATTTAAAGCGGGAGGGTTGTCACCTGCGCATGACACGCTATGGCCATCTGACGCATGCGGAGGTGACGACTCCCTCGCTTTAATACAGTGATATGTGTAGGTACATCATAATAAAAGTCCAACATCCGAGCACTACTGGGATAACCCAAAGCAGCCCAGAGTTATAAATAGCTAACACAACAATATGCAATGAAATTCTCACAAAAAACGAAATCTTTTGATTTACGAACGTTCGAAAGTGGTCGCATTCTGTGAATGTTAATCAAACATAGTTCAAACCAATAGCGTCTCAGAACGCAATGGGTACTTGGAAAGATTAGATTATCACTAGATTATCACCACATTCAAAACGCACATATAACACACATTGTAAATATGCACAGAAATTACCAAGAGCGGTCTTAGAGGAAAAATTAAATCAGTTCTTTCACAGACAAAGTAATTTGCATTAGGATTTCGAGAAATGTAGGTTTGTCTTGATCATATCGCAATTTCCATGACTTATTCAATTTGCGCATGGTCTTCATCGCATACCCTAATCTTATAAATCCTTGTTTTTTCATAAAACAAAAATCATTGTTAATCTCCTAATTACTCTTGGTGCAAGAAAGGCATTCCTTCATCTTTATAAATATTTCACAATTCAAACTGAAACAAGAGGTTTTTATTAGTCGATTGAATAACATTGCAACGTTTTCAAATGGTGTCATTGCATGCTATGCTCTTTCATTGATTGGTTTGATTCTACTGCCATTGAAGTTTATAAATACATGTATTTTTAAAGATGACGAAATGCTTTTGTTTCAGCAAGAGTAATATGAAAAATGAGTTAATCTATTATAAATGCTTAGTTTACTAGAAGTCATATAGCCCTGTGTACATGTCTGTTCAGGCAGAACAGAACAGACTGTACACAGGGCTTATCCTGCTGTAGTTGTAATGACCATCAAACTATTTAAGCTGCAGCTCTGGGTGTATAAAATCATACCGTTGAGGGACGGTGATAAAATGAAACATTTTCAGTATGCAAATGACACTTAAAGGGGCACTTCCAGTTAAGCCTAATTTCACAACAAATTTACTTTCTGGATTAAAATTACAATTGATAACAAAAGAAAGATTAACTTTGTAAACAACATTAACAATAGTGTCCAATGATTCTTTGCTGCAATCCCTGGGCTTGGAAGTTTCCCCTTTAAGCTTGGTACACTCTTTTTGACAATAAATATAGTATTTTTTGACGTACACAACCATGAATATATAAGAGATACAATGGTCATGTTAGTTAACAAATTGGGCAAGAATTCAGCATAATTTCCGCCTAAAAATGACAAGAAATCATGTTTCAAGCAGTCGTTATGAGTGCTCAAAATGACTGTCAATTATGGGTTTATGCAAAATCAAACTGTTCAACCTCTTGCTGTGTTTATGCATGTTGCTAATGATGTGATATGTTCTAACGGTTTATTTATATTACTTAGTGGGGACTTTGCGGAAATGCACTTTATGAAACAATCTCACACAGCCCCCCCCCCCCCTCCCCCCACCTCATCTACTTGTACCCAGGGTTTTAGACAGCCAGTTCACCCACCAAAAGGACTGACAACGTTGATTTTGAACTGGCAACTTTTTTCCATGTTTCTGTTTTTTCATATTTTCTTTGATAATTTTACCAAATATATCCAAAACCTATATACATGGACTGGCAGTTGAAATTCCTGGCTATAGCCTACTAGTATCTATTTTATTTAAAATGGACATTTTAACATCAAATTACAATAAACGCTTCAAATCAGATGTAGCTTGCATTATGAACAAGATATCATAATTAAGATATATGATAAATCTTATAGACCTTACCTATCAAACCAACTCCCTGCAGTTCAGTCAATACCGCCATCTTCCGGTAGGCGTGAAACCGGAAATGAAAGAATATACCCACAATGCAAGTTCCTGTAATTTTTTTACTACAACGACGCTCGTGTGAAAACTAATTCGAGTATTTTAATTTTTAAAAATGAGTTTATTTCAAAAATATAATTTTGCCGATGTAACAGAATGTGACTGACACAAGTAATTTGTTTCACGACTTACGAAATGACGTCACCTCCCACATGGTCCTTTGCCGCCATCTTGTTCATGCATGCAATGGAATAGGAAAGGCTTTCAAGCTCGAAATCAAATTTTGCCCTCAAATTGGGCGACAGATCTTGGATTGTATTTTGTGTAAATCGATAATACAACAAAGATGCCTACATACTTTCAGCGTCCCGAAAATGCTCTCAAAAGAGCAAACGGTAAGAAACCTGTATCTATATTATGTCAGTCCATATGTTGGCTGCGGTACTGCCACACTCTCAATCAATGGTATCACTGTGTTTCGTAACATTTACTTTTTATGATTGCTGCATTTAACGGATGGTCGCTTAATAAGCAATTATTCCAAAATTATTACGTAGTTGTACCACGATCGCGACAGGCCGTGAAAGATCAAGGCACCCCTAAGCTAAGTTGAAATTGAATGACACACTCTGAGGGATATAATGACCTTTATGTGAAAATCACAGTTAATTACTTAAATACGCACGATACATATTCAATCAATTTCGTGATACAGCTGGTTATTGACGATTTTGATGATACTTGTCAGGACTTGGCACACCCATTACTAACAGTATTGTTTGCTACAAATCTTACTGGAGAATCTATAAACTATGGAAAATGTCAATTAACACAAGGGCTTACAAGCAACAAGGAAAGTGCCTCAGTTTCTCTCTTATATAAAATCTATGGAGAAACTGAAAGGATTTTTCCACCAAATCAAGAGGGTGGTCAGGGTGTGCTATCTTCCTTGGAAATAACAGGAATCACAGTTTCTACAATAAATAAATAAATAAATATATATAAAATATTTTTTTTTTTATTTAAAGAATTCATCGATGTTGGTAAAAAGCAGCCTGCATTGGATGCCTTGTATGATGTTATCAAGAGCAAAAAACATCGAACATGGCAGAAAATCCATGAACCGATCATGGAGAAATATCTAGTGCTGTGTGTTGATTTACGCAAGAGTCATATTGCAAAGGAAGGTCTTTATCAATACAAGAATATCTGTCAACAGGTGAGCAACTTGAAATATACATTTTATATTTAAAGTTTGTTTGGTCACTTGCTCTTTTGTGTTGATTTAGTTTGTTGATGTGAGATCACTTATAGATAATTGTTTGCAATACAATACTACAATACTGTGTTTCTAATCAATTGCAGAATATATTTATAAGACTTTCTATGTCTATGGTAGCGAGACTCAACACTACAGTACTGTAAAATACTTAATTAATGCTTGGATTTTATTTTCACTCAAGGGGTGATTCAGTGAAAATAAAATCTAACGATCCAATTTTTCCTGCATTTTACATTGAACTCGCCAAATATTAGTGAAAATAAATTTCATACAAAACACCCAAACAGTCTTTTCAGCAAAAATTAATTCCAGCTAAAATAAAGTATTTTATAGTATTTAAATTATATTTTTAGTAAAAAATCCAATAATTCAAAACTCTCGTGCTTTGGCTTTTTCAGGTTAACATCAGATCCCTAGAGGATGTTGTTAGAAGTTATTTAAGACTGGCCGAAGAAAAAACTGAACAGGCCAAGGAAGAATCGCACCAGAAAGTTGATGATATTGATGACTTAGATCAAATCACAACACCAGAGAGGTGAGACCTAATTTCAATCAACTCTTCACATTCTGGGCTGCCTGCTGGCATTGTTTTTCCCACTTTTTGGGCAATTCATGGTAAAGCAATTTTCATGCAGTAATTTAATTCCACATTGTAGTGCCCATCCATGAGCAGAACACTCCAGGAATAGAATATTTGACTATTTTTGTTTTACTCTTTTTATTGTTAGCTTACTTCTAAGTGCTGTGAGTGGTGAGGATACACAAGATCGAACTGATCGCATACTTCTGACACCGTGGGTAAAGTTCCTATGGGAGTCATATCGACAGTGTTTGGATTTACTAAGAAATAATTCCAAAGTTGAAAGGCTTTATCAAGATATAGCTCAACAAGGTAACATTGCATTTTTATGTATCAAATCAAAGTTATGTATGTAGTATTAGTTATTTAAGGTATTTAATTGAGCTTTTCTGTTAGGCTTGGTGTATCGATACAGAATCTGCTGAGACAAGTTATTTTATTTACCCTATTGATCAATTGTACTTTTCTAGCTTTCAAGTTCTGTTTGAAATACTCCAGGAAGACGGAATTTCGTAAACTATGTGAAAATGTAAGTTCTGGGATTTTTAAATTTAATTTCTGTACTACCACCGTCCAGCAAACACAGACATTTGCATTTAATTTTGTTAACACTACCAATTTCGAGAGCTTGTTTCCAGAAGTTAATATTAGGTTGTCCATCAGTGATTGGGTTTTTGAATCAATGTACACAATTGTGAATATATGGAAATAATGTTAAAGCGGTAGATACTAGAAATTTTGAATTATATGTAAATTCCTCGTAGTTCAGTTGGGGGACAAATGGTTGTCCTGGCACAAACATTGGCAGTCTCTGTGCCTTCCTCGACTACTGTAAAAAAAATTAGTCCTGACAAAAATTTAGCAATTTCATATAATAATTTAATGCTCTTACAATGTAACTTTAACCCTTTAAAGTGTCAAAGTCAACTATTTCATCATTCACATTTTTCAATTGAATTTATTTATAATATTTCTAAAATAAGACATGTAGCGAATAGGATATTATGTCCATTTGGTTCAAAATTATCCAAAAAATTATAAAAAAATGTGTTGCATGCACTAAGTTGAATTTTACTTGCATTTCATATATTTTATTTCATTTTATTGCTATTTGCCCTTGTTATCAACGTATTAGAGCAGACTTGTTGTCTGTATTGTTTTGCACTAACCCCCACTTACAACAAATTTATCTCGCTCATGGGTTCAAGAAATGATGTCAATTTAAACCAGTTAGCGAGTTATGTTTATTTTGCCATGAAAAGCAGAACTTGAATGATTTTTATTGCCACCATTGTTGAAGTGAAACTGTATTTGCTCTGGGCCAATAGCCTTTTGCTTTGCAATAAATAAACAAACAGAACAATTCAAGAAATGAATTAATTGTAAGTTGCTATAATCACTACTGAGTACTGTGGAATACTTTATTTTCGCTGGAATAAATTTTCGCTGAAAAGGCTTTTTGGACGTTTTGTATGGAATATATTTTCACTGATTTTTGATGAGTTTATATAGATATATAGGCAAAAATGTATATTCGCTGGATTTTATTTTCACGGAATCATCCTTTCAGCGAAAATAGCGAAAATAAATTCCAAGTGAAAATAAAGTATTCTACAGTAACAAGCAACACTTTATAAAGTAGTTCACTTGTAAACACAGCATGACCAGATTACGCTATCGTCACAGATCATTTTCAATGCATTACATTAAATATACTGAGTATTTTTTTTTTGTCATCATGTGAAAATACCAATGGTTTTCAGCATTTGTGACCTCTAATTCGGAAGCAAATTCAGGCCTTTCCCTGATGCCTGGAGTGACGCCAAGATTTTACGGTATATCATGATAGTAATAATTTGTTTTTCATTTCAGCTAAGGAATCATCTTGGGTTGATTACAAAATATCAGAACCAAGCATCGTCTATTAATTTGAACAATCCTGACAGTCAGCAGATGCATCTGGAAACCAGATTAGTGCAGTTAGACAGTGCTATCAGTATGGAACTATGGCAGGTTAGATTATCTATCCTCTGATTCAGTGTTGTTTTACAGATTTATAAAATAATTTGATTTAAAACAACCTTCTACATGATTAAAACAAATTTGTTATAGAAATAGAATATTTAAGGTGTATAATTGCAACCATTAAATGCGAATCATTAAAAAGGTGCAACATACAGTTGGAATTTACACTTCAATAAAAAATGATTAACTCTGGATGTTAAGTAATTTCTTTCATATACATGTATGCGTGTAGTAGCCTTGACCTTAATTCTGATAATTTCAAACATTTGCTATTATTAGTTACCACCCCTGATTATTTGGATATATCGCCTTGGGTAAACGTTTATAAGCTAAATTTGTGTTTTTGTTCACCCTGAATGCATGTGATTTAGGGTCATTGTAAACTGTGATGTTTATACTATTGCAGTGTATTAGATGAATTTTATTCAGAATATCAGTGAAATGCTATTTATCATCAGAAGTTTGTCTTGACTGATAACACATATTACACATTATTTGATGGATGTGAATAATTCAAAATATAGAAAATATATTTGTAAATTAAGAATTAGTGACCATCAGCTTATGATAGAGAAAAGGAGGTATACTAGACCAAAAACAAAACTGGAACACAGAATCTGCACAAGATGTGACAATAACTCAGTTAAGGATGAGTACCATTACATTATGGACTGCCCACAGCACAATGAAATGAGGCAGAAACTTTTTACAGATTTACTTAAGTAATAATCCTAATTTTACTGCAATGGATCATCCCGATAAATTTATTTACATTATGACAAACTGCCACATTAAGCTTGGTATGTTTATAATGCAAACAGGTGTGTATTAATAGGAGTAAAACACCTTATTCTTTAGTAGTTTGTAATTGCCGTTAAATTAATCTGTTATTTTAATTTTTTTTTTAACTGAGTTTTTTGATTATCCTCTTTACTTTTTTTTATTTTACTTGGCTATGTTCATCTTCTATAGAAAGAATAAACGTCAATAAAGTTATCTTATCATATTACACATGTGTAATGATGTTTAATTTGTTTTCTAGGAAGCCTACAAAGCCATTGAAGATGTACATGGGCTGATGACGTTGTCTAAGAAATCCCCTAAACCTCAGCTGATGGCTAACTATTACACCAAGCTGGGTTTAGTGTTTTGGAAATCTGGAAATCATCTCTTCCATGCATGTGCTTTGCATCGTTTATTACAATTGTCGAGAGAACAGCGGAAGAATCTCTCGCAGGACGAGATTCAAAAGTAAGTTACAAAGTGGCATTCTGTGTTTTTATCTACATATGTGGATGTATTGACAGTGATTTTCTGCTTTACCTGCTTCTGATATGTTTTCAAAACCCTTATCAAATAAAAATAACTTTCTATACTAGCTGGTGGTATTTAGGATGGTAGCCTAGCAAGCTGAAAACCTACTGCTTTTCAGAATTTATTTTGCTAATTTCTGGAAGATCTTGTCAGCTTTTTTTTTTGAGATTCACTAAATGCCCTTTGACCTCCATGCCATTTCTCGCAATGTTGTGTCAGGATCTGGTTTTTCAAGCAAATGCTAAAAACTATTATTTTTTTTTTTCAGCCAATGTCAAATTGATAAGATATTTACCTCTTCATTCTCTCATTGCTGTTTTGCCTTTATTACAGAATGGCATCCCGTGTGTTACTAGCTACTTTATCTATTCAAGTTATCCAACCTAGAAATGAAATCACTACAATCCTGGACATGGAGGAAGCACATATTGAAAAACAACGTAAACTAGCCAACCTATTAGGATTGCAGAGTCCACCCAATAGATCTCAATTAATCAAAGATATGGTAAGATGCCTTTGTGTTTGAGTTGTGTGTCTGAATTGTGTCGACAATTTAAGCAATGTTCATACTTTGCATGGTAATCCTGTATTAGAACTTTAAATTTTTCACCACCAGACTTTCTAGCCCAAATTTTCTTGTTTATAAAATCCTTCAATATTTCTGGAAATGAACCCCAGACACAGACACAGTTTGAGTCAATTTTCAGTTTTTACTCAAAAGAATTTGGCTATTTTTGTCCCAATCTTCTGATAATGCAATCTATAAACAGGACTACTTTGTGATGAAAGAAGGGAACTGGTGATGAAAAGGTTAACTAACAAAATTTGTCTGGCCACTTTTTGACCAATTTTGGTCAGATTTAGTACAAAGGCAAGGACAAGAAATAATATGCATGCAAATTTGTTTTTGATTGCAATAAAATTATACTGAAAATATCTCCAACTCCAACGTTGTGACAGACAGAAGAATGTTGACATTAGCTTCTCTGTTGTGTTAACTTTCTTCTGTCTTTCTAATAAGGGAGCTTATCTTGTTATTGAACACTCAAGTTACACCCACCTTGAGAATAATGCAATAGACGTAGGGCATAGTTAAATACTACTGTGTAACCTGTTTCTATCTAGGTCAAGTACAACGTCATCCAGCATGTATTGCCACAGTTAAAAGATCTATTTAATTGGTTAGAAGTAGAGTTCCATCCGTTACAGCTAAGTGATAGAGTGACTAAAGTACTAGAATTCATAGAGGAAACTAACGAATTAGAGATGGTGCAGTATGTGTCGGCACTGCAAAATGTCGCTCTTACCAGATTACTTTCACAGGTATTATCATTTGCGATTTATTATTATCAGATGTTATTGTCTTTCTTTGATTGTTACATCAGAGCTACGTCACAGAATGTTCTATGTTGCTAAGACACACACCACTTTATCGTGTATTTGTATGGGCTCTGTGCGAGCTGCTGTGAAACGCTGGTTGAAGAGCCGGTGAGAAGTCGCACAAAACAGCACAAACTCAAATTTGAATTAATTCTGAGCAACCAAATTTATATATGTTGCACATGTTGGAGTAGTCTTGTTACAGCCACTATCCCAAAATACAGTTTTCTGAAAGTTTTAGGACTTTGTTTCTCACTGATGGTTGCCAGGCGGTGAAAATGCTGTGATGTCTGCCTGGGATAATACGTGGCTATAACATAGTAGTTAGTGCAGATAGATCATGATATGAACTTATGTCAAAATGATATTTTATTATAGGTGTCTCAAGTGTACCAAACAATTCAGTTTAGTCGTCTATCTCAGCTGGCTCCGTTTGCTTCGGCGTTCCATTTGGAGAATGTTATCGTTGATGCAGCTAGGAGTGGTGCATTACAGGTATAGTGATTTCTAATCATAAAATGCAGTAAATCTCGCAATTGGAATTTTGGAGTGATTGATGCTAATTTTTATGATATTCCTCTCAGTTTATCAAACCCTCTTACCAGGGTGCAGTAGATGTTTTAGTTTTCCTGTTCATTGATGCTTTGCCGAGTGAATCAGCGTTTGCACAGGGATCAAAAATAAAACAAATTTTCGATAACCCTGCAGGGCTAGTTGTTTCAAGCGCTAGTAGTCCCATGGCTTTATTAGGTAGTTTGTTTGGTAACCACTTTAGAACCATGCAAAAAAGTGTGAACACAAATAAATTTCACATTGCTCAATTTATGTAAAACATGCATAATTTTGAACTAAAACTGGTAAAAGACCATGTTTTGTATATTTTTAGTACCGTAAAATATCTAATTGAGGCCGCGGCTTAATTTAAAAAGGAAATCTCCGCCTTCTCACTTGAAAAACAAAAAGTCGGGGGTCGGCTTCTATTAGATAAGTTTGGTTGAATTTGAAAGACATTTTCTATAGATATGCAAATGAGGGGTTAATGATATGCACGCACTAAATTGAGACATTGTTTTGATTTCTGGCGTCAAGATTGGTAAAGTGAAAGAGGTCAGGAATAATCATTTGAAATACATACAAACACACACACAAGCACACATGGTATTTTTGTACGGTAGTTCTCTTTTTGAAATATGTGGTGGCCCTGAAAAGGGCCGTTTGGTTTGTGTGTGAAAACTACACGATTGTTAAAATCCTAGAAAGTCGTCGCTGCTGTCATCATCGTCGTCACTGTAAAATATTTCAGCGATTTC